TGACAGCCAAAAAAGCAAAAGTAATTCTAGGATGCATCAACAGGAATATAGTGAAAAGATCAAGAAAAGTAGCAGTAGCTCTCTAATTGGCTTTTGTCAGATCTCATCAAGAATACTGTATTCAGTTCTGGTGAGGATATTAACAAGTTGGAACATGCCTAGAGGAGTGTGATAAAAATGGTGAATGGTAAGAAAACCAAGAGTGATGAGGAATACCCTGCTTCAGAAGCGATGAGGCTTCTGAAGCAGAGTATGTTTATCCTTAAGAAGAGAAGTGTGAGAGGCAACATCATGGTTATATTAAAATATATGAAGGGATGTTCTGTAGAAAATAGAGAAAGATAATTTTCTGATGCATCTGAAAAAGCAGATTTAATCTACAAAAGCTTATGGGGCCATCTTAGTTTTCTCAGGCAATCTCTAAGCTGCTACAAGATCTCTTTGCAGGTTAATTTGGAACTCACTGCCATTTTTTTCCATTTATTTGTAAAAATCCAAAGGAATATCTTTGCCCAACAACATCTTGCCACTTCTTTCTATGATTTGAAACTTTCTGGCAACACACAGCCAGAATGTTTAATGTGATTAAATGTGTTGTTCTGAGTGATAATATAGTCTTTTGTTGGACAGCGAATGTGGTATTAATTTACCATGTCTCCAGTATGGCCTGGAACATTACAGTGGCGATCTCTTGGAACCACTTGGCTGACTAAAAAGTACTTTCCACAGATGTGCTTATATTTCTTAATTATTCACAGGGGTCTTAAGACTGTTTCTCAGTAGATAAGGCACAATTGTTCCTTTGCCAAAAGAGTGCATTTTAAAATGTGTTTTCAAGGGCTGTGTGTGTAGGCAAAAAGCCTTAAGTACTCAGAATAAATTATGCAAATAATCCATCATTACAGGCAAGTGCAATCTGCTGGACCATTTTATAGAATCTGATGAATTATAATTATCATGTGGGTTTATCATTTGTACACTGTACATTCAAAATAGTTCTAGAAATGATAATGATAGCAAAATACATATAATTAAATTGCAGTATTTAGACTTTTGAAGAAAGAAAATAGAATGTTTTGACAAAGACAGGACATTGTCAAAAAGAAAAAAGAGACAGAAAGAAAGAAGTTGAGGAAAGGAATGAGGGAGGAGGGCAATAGAAAGGTCACAGTAGGACGGGGAACTGGGCAAGACACAAAACCTAAGGCACTTGAGCACAACATTTTGATCAAAGCCCTCTTCGGTTTCTAAGCTTTCAATAGACACCTTGTGCCTTGCCATTTTTCTCTGTATGTGCAGCTTTTTGGTCTACATGCACAAACTGAATATCCCTCATCAGATTTCCCTTCTGCCTTGGAATTCACAGTGATCTGGTCCTTTAGATTTAATTCTGCTGCAGAAATGTTCCTTCTTCTAATGGCTGAAAGACTCATAGGGAAAACTGGCCTGTTCGTTTATGTTATTGAGGAAAACAAGGACATGAAGAAACATATGCGGGATTATCCAGAGCTGCTCCTATGGAACTGATAGGCAAATTCATATCTTAGGCACAGTGTATAGGTACTATTCTCAAAGGCACAGGAACTGGAAACGCAAGGAAGAAATAGTATCACATATATTAATAGTATCCTGTGGTGGTGATAATCATGATAATAGAAGAGGAAGAGGAGTTCACAGATGTGGGGAGATGGGGGAGAGGAGTCAAGCTGAACTGTTATATGTATTCTATCCAGCAGTGTTAGAGCTGATACTGAGGGTAGCCCAAGTCAGTCATCAATACTCCACACATATTTGTTCAGCCACTCGTGCAAAGTGCTCTTTCACCTTCTCCATCTGCTCAGTCCTCTCTTTTGATGCACTTTCTGGTGTGAAGCAAATCTTCATCAACCACCAAAGCAGCCACTTGCTTTCTGGGAACTGAATGTTGCCGGGAGACATAATTAATGCAACTCTAGAAGTTGACCTTATTTTATGTTTATAGTGAGGGTTAATGGTGGCAGTGACACCTGGCAGTCTGGCTTGTTGAAATGCATGAAACACCTTCAAAACTCAACAATGCTAGAAATATGAAGATTGAAAAGGGAGGATGTGTTGTGTTTATATCCATGCATTATTCTTCCCATGTTTTCTGTTTGGATGCTCTGGTTTTTTTCTGGACTAGGAAACTTGTATTTGACATCAGGATGAAAAGGAATATATCTCATAGCACAAATCACAGAGCCTGTTCTGCTCTATTGAAGTGACTGTATTGTTTCACTAACCAGTTAGGTAAAGTCTTGCATGCCTCTTAAGTATGTTTGGTGTTTATAGAAATACTTCAAAATTTTAATGTGCAGAACTAATTAAATAGCCATGAGATCCAACATCTCATAGTAGTTTGGGTGTTGGATTCAAGAACAGGGTTCAAATATCCATTTGGCCATGGGAGCCCACAGGGCAACCTTGGGCAAGTTACATTCTCTCAACCTCCGAGGAAGGCAAAAACACCCAAATCTTGTCATGAAAACTGTGATAGGTTCACTTTAAGGTCACCATAAATTAGAAATGACTTGAAGACACACACCAACAAATGTGAGTTGTTTTGGTTTTTGCAAGAAATAATGCACCCCCTTAGCAGTTTCTGGCCTGACCATGATCTATGTTTTTGAATGGTCTTTTCTCTAGACTCTGCATCCATAAGACCACTGACAATCATTTAAAATATAAATATTTCTAGGACGGCAAGACAGGGAAGCTCTTTATGGCCATTGCTGCAGCAGTTTCAGCCAAGTTGATATTCTTGCCAGTAATTTTCCTGGGAGAGGCAGCAACTTGACAACAACCATTGCTCAATGCATGGATGTGCTTCTTTTTGGGGTAATCACCCAGTCAGTATGCCTATCACTGAGTACATTTGGCCACATTTGTGTTTTTCTTATGCTTTTAGACAGTTAAAAAGTGACAGAGCTACCCTTTTCAACATTTCACCATTAATGGCATGGAAAATTATGGGTTTAAAAGCAAATGTATCAATTCTGTTTCAGAAATGTTTACCCAACAATTTGGATACAAATAGCTCCTGATAGAGAAATATTGTTAATGACCCTGAAGGTAACAGCTACACCAGTGGGGAAGCCTGCTAATGCAGAACATTTATAAAGCAAAGCCAGCTAGTCTGTAGAGTCACTCTAAGAAAATATGAGATGTACAAAAATAGAACTGGCAGCATCCGAACAGGAGAGAAACTGTGCTTTGTGATGCATTTCCATTTTGGTCACCTGTAGTTCTATCAGTAGCACATGGAAAATGACAAAAGAAATAAGGGTCTGTCCCCCCGTCCCCCCCCCCCTAATTTTAAGCCACATCTTTAATGTTTTACATTCCTACCATATACTGAATCCTAGATGGGTAAGTGCAGAAATTTCAGTTTTGCCAAGTGGAGTTATTTATACCACCAGAACATCTTTAGTCTAAAGGACATATTTTAGAGTGCGAATACAGCTAAGATTTAAAGAGCTCCAGATTGCCTATTCAGTGTGAAACATTTGTTATCCCAGTAATAGAAATGATATAGGATTGTACTTTACAGAGAAGGACAAGGACAGAAATATTTTCAGCCTTCTTATGCTTTCAGTTTAGAAACCTTCTAAATTCTGTCCCTATTCTGATTTTGCTGGCTGAAATCCCGGTGCTGATTGCAAATGGAACAAATCCACAGAATTAGTTGCTGAGCTGTTAAGTCAACACTTATTTAAAAGTAATTGATTCAATAGATCTACTCTTGTTGGGATTATCAATGGGATTTAGGACTTCCAACATCGCGTTATGATTGCAGGTTACTCATCTCTTAGAGTTGTGGCTCTTCACCTCTTTGAGTCATGGATAGAGAATATTCCCCAACCTGTCAGCACCCTTAGTTGCCAATAGGAGGTATCTTTCTCTGTGTACACTATTAAGAACTAGAACACCTGGCTGGCGAATGATGAGGAACTATAATCTTATAGCCTGCACCCGGTTGCCCCATTTTAAATTTCAGCTCCCATAAATCCCAGGCAGCATTGGTAGTAGTCAGAGGTTATTGAAACTGTTATTCAAAACATCTGAAAGGCACTATGCTGTCTACTCAGAGTTTCATTCCTATTTTGCATGGCCAAAGCATAAAGATGTACAAAACTAGTCTTCTGAAGATAGTAGGCATTATGAGACAAAAAAGTTTAGCTTGCTTCAGGTTTTTCATGTACCTTTTTCTATTAGTACTGCTTGCAAGCAGGGATAGGGATGATACAAACATAGGAAAGTTTAATTCCCATTTAATTGCTTTTCTTTTATAGAAGATCAGGGAAACATAAGAAGACCTGTCAAAGGAACATACTGGATTTAATAAATATTAATATCTAGTCTTGACTCCAACACAGAGCAAAAAGTCACTGTATGAGGGAAGGAAACAACACTGAATTAATAACAGCTGGCAGATTCTGACCATCCAGTAATAGGGAAGAACTATATGCAGGAGTAGGGGTAAAAGAGAGAATGGGGCATTCTTTTCCTCTTATTGTGAGATGTAGAATAATTAATGGATCAGCCATCCAACTCATTTATTCAAACTGAAAAAGGATGGCCATATGTTCGTGCTTGCTGACCAGACAAATATGCCCTCAGTCCATATTTCATAAACACTTGAGAAAGGAATGTGACAGTCCAAAGATGGAAAGGAGCAGACACAGGTTTCCCTCTGCAGTAACTGGAGGGCATACAATAGAGATTCTGGGAAATACTCACACATAACACACATCAGGCAAGCCTCCAGGTCCTCTTGCCTGGCAACTGAAAGGATTTACCCTGGGTAGCCTCTAAATACGATGTCATGCCTCTGGGGATGTCCATCTGTGGCTCATTCTCTAGTCAATGTTAAGTAAAGTGGTAATGCAGCTCTGTCGCTTTCTCTTTTTTCTTTCATTGTATAGTAATTGCTCTTTTTCTTTTCTCTTCTCTCCTTGGCTTCCCCTGACCACCTGGAGCAGCAGCGACCAGTAAAGCAGTCTCTGAGCAAGTCACTCTGTAGGGAGTCACACTGGAAGTGCCTGGTTCTCTCCCTCCTCATGTATGGCTGCATGGGAGCCATGACTTGGTGCCATGTGACTAAGGTGACGCGGCTGACTTTCGATAGCGCCTACAAGGGAAAATCCATGATGTATCATGATAGTCCATGCTCTAATGGTTATATCTACATCCCTTTGGCTTTTCTTGTGATGCTGTATGTGGTGTACCTCGTGGAGTGCTGGCATTGCTATACCCGCAATGAACTCCAGTACAAAGTAGATGTGGAGAGCGTGCATGAACGTGTCCAGAGGATGCAGCAGGCCACACCATGCATCTGGTGGAAAGCCATCAGCTACCATTATGTCAGGAGGACTCGCCAGGTCACCCGCTATCGCAATGGGGATGCTTATACCACCACCCAAGTGTACCATGAGAGGGTCAACACTCATGTGGCAGAAGCAGAGTTTGACTACTCTAACTGTGGGGTGAAGGACATATCAAAGGACTTGATTGACCTGGAGAATTTCCCAGCCACTCGTCTTCGCTTCACTAAGTGCTTCAGTTTTGCCAATGTGGAGTCTGAAAATTCCTATTTGACCCAGAGGGCACGCTTCTTCACAGAGAATGAGGGACTGGATGACTACATGGAGGCAAGGGAAGGCATGCACCTCAAGAATGTAGACTTTAAAGAGTATATGGTGGCCTTCTCAGACCCAGACAACCTTCCTTGGTATGTTTCCCACTATGTCTTCTGGGTTGCTGCTCTATTAACTTTGTCCTGGCCCTTGCGAGTTTTGAATGAGTACCGCACTTCTTTTGTCCACTACCATGTAGAGAAACTCTTTGGATTTGATTATGTGGCAGTGACTCCGGCTGAAGAGCGCCCTTTCTGCCGGAGGATGCCAAGGGTCAACACTGTGGATAGTACTGAGCTAGAGTGGCACATCCGATCCAATCAGCAGCTGGTGCCCAGCTACTCAGAGGCTGTCCTCATGGACTTGGTGGGGTTGTCTAGTTGCACTACTTATTCTTCGTGTCGCTATGGGAGCTACAGACAAAACTGTGAGCAGTGTCATAGGACTATAAGCAGCTCATCCATCTTCTCCCGAAGCGCCCTCAGTATTTGCAATGGCAGTCCCAGGATCCCCTTTAGCAGCAGCCGTTTCTCACTTGGGCGCCTCTATGGCTCACGGCGCAGCTGCCTCTGGCAGAGCAGGAGTGGGAGCTTAAATGATCAGAGCTGCCCAACTGAACAGACCCGCCTGTCCAGCCAAGTCACTGTGGAGGAGGAAGATCCCCCTCCTTACCAGGATGCTCTCTATTTCCCCATCCTCATTGTGCATCGAAATGAGGGTTGCCTCAACCATGATCACCGTCATCTCCATCGGAATGGGTCCTGTGTGGAGACCTCACTGTGAGGGTATGGGAACTACCCGCAAGAAATGCCCTGTAACCAGAGGTGGTTGTGGGACAGATAGGGTATAGCACAGGAACAGAGGTCCCAACTGTCAGTTATGTCAGACAAGATTGTTCCTCCTCATGATCTTATGGAGGACTCAAGAGCTCCTGAGTCCCATTCTGGCTCTGGAGGCCTGTAATGGCTTTGTTCCAAGGTAGGCAGCTTACAGCAACCATCAGGAACCACAGCACAGAATTGCAAATGGATAACCATATACAAAAAACCCAAATCAAATTATTTTAAAAAGTAGAAAGGACAACCAGTAACAGCCAGAGTACTGGAGTTGTTTCTTTCCAACTCTGTCTCCAACTAACCAAACCACCTATTAGGAACTGCCTTTGGGGGCTGCTGTTCCAGCTTAGTACAGCAGATGAGTCCATTGGCAGTGTGGCATGTTTCCTTCTCAAGTCAAATACTAGTGCTGTTTTTCCAGCCAGGAGCTGAAAAGTAGTTGAGAAGCAGCTACAAGTCAGGCCTTTTTCCTTTTTTCAAGACCATGCTCCGACTGTTACACTGTTCTCAGCTGCTGAGGACATAAGATCTTAGGACATTTTCTTGGAAAGCCTTGCTGTTTCACATCTGAGAATCAACATCTCATAGCTAAAGCTTAAAGCATTCAGCCCACGTTCCTTTCCTTTTTTGTGGCAGCAGAAAGCAAGAGTGAACAGGGAACTTCCAAAGGTTATCCCAAACGTTAATACAGTCTTGAATCCAAGTCCAGGAGAAAGCCCAGTGTACAAAGTAAGCCAAAGAATTTGCCATGTGCATGTCCACTGTGTGCTGCTAGCATTGCATTGGGTAAGAAGAGGAAATAGGCATCAGTGGCGAACTTGGGATATATGAAGTGAGTGAAACCTAGCCATAGTGGAGACAGGAAAAAAAGTCTCATGGGAGGTTCTGAGTGGTACAGTTTGTCTATTAATAATACAGGAATAGGTTGATGTGAAAGCACAGTATTCGCGTGTGACTAGGGTGAGTTTTACTTATAGTCTGAAGCTGTCTTGCTTGTTGGAATGTGAAAAGATGCATTTCATTCTAAGCATGAAATGTAAGTTAGGAGCAGTAAAGGGTGTGTGTGAGAGAGAAATTGTAGAGGGAGAGGTCTTAATCCTGAATTTTCTAGGTAAAAGAAAGTGTGCAAACAGCTATAGAAACAAAATGTAATTAGTAATGCTTCTTGGGACAGATTACGATAAAACAGGTTTGTAGATGAGGATGTCTACATCTGGTCCTACTAGCTAAAATTTGCAAAGAAGCAGGAACTGGGGAGTATCCAGTGAAATCCTGCGAACAGGAATTCACAGTTTGGATTCTGTAAACTGTGTTCATGTGGTCTTGTTGATTTGTTTTCCAGATTAGGCTGCCACAGGATACCAGTGTCTCATGCCATTCTAGTATTCTGGGTCCATGTAAACTTTGCTAATTCCCAAGACAAGAATATACAAACCTCTGGTTTTCCTCTAATAATCTCAGACTTACAATTTTAGACCAGGAATGATCAAGGTATCACTTGCAGGCCACATACAGACCCCCCTCTATACTGCCATATAATCCAGTTTCTGAATCCAGATTATCTGCTTTGAACTGCCTTATAAGGCAATGTAGTCACATATAATTCAGTTCAAAGCAGATAATCTAGATCCCGAAACTGTATTATATAACAGTGTAGATCCAGCCATAGTCCTCAAGCACATGCTTTCTTTCCCTGATCCCAGACCTTTCCCATACAATCATTTTCCACTATTGGAATAATCCAGGAGCAGTCATTTACATTAAAATAAGATGTAGTGCCCCTGCACCTTATTTTAATGTAGTTCTCCATCCAACTGGTGTTTTGGGACTACTGCACCCCAAAATGTTCCTTGAAATAGAAAGTTGGCCCCCAGGTCCCCTAGAATTTGTCCACTGCCTTAGATGCAATATGCAACATTTTATGCTTAATCAAACTGAAGCCTATATTCAGAATAAAGTGGGTAGATTAAGAGGAAACAAGTGGCCCAGCAAACAAAATGAAAAGGCTGTTGAACTAATGTTTAATTAGCGATGCAGTACACAGGGATGCAAGATTGCTTTCCATTGAGCTAGCCTTTGAAAATCTAGGAGGGATGAGGTGATGAGTCTTCTGAACACAGTTTCGAACTCTGGCTTATTAATAAGCTTGATGCTCATTTTCCCCTCAACTAGTTCCCACTGCTTTCATTTGTGCATTTAATCTGTTATCCCTTGAATCTTTAGACAATCTGTGTAATGAAATATGATCAAGTAGGATTCAGCTTGGATCCTTCATAAGGTCCAAGTTAAACCAAGAATGGGGAACTTATGCCCCATCAAATGATGTGCTCATATTTTCATCTGTCTTACTGGGATGCTGGGAGGTACGGTCCCGTAACATCTGAAGGGCCTTTTCCATTTCCTATTCCTGGATTTTAAATACTAGTTCCCTTCCTCTGTTTTAGATACACGATTGATTTGAATGGAAGTAGGATCTCATTATATCTTTATGTGGCCCTCTCGATGTTGTTGGATAGCAACATCTTGAGGGCCACAGTTCTCCACCTCCATTCTAGGAAGATAGATCTGGTGGAAAGGAGACAGATTTTCACTGTTTTCTTGGAGCAGCTGGAACAGGATTTAGGTCCTCCTAATGTATGCATGGATGTGGTGATGGGAAAAAAAACTATCTGGAGCATCTCAGGGTATTTATTTGTGCTAAAATGTATGTTTCAGCTCTTTTAATCATTTTTTTTTTCAGTTCCATGGACAAAGTTTTTCATGTCTTCATTTTCTTTATTATATTAGTAATCATTTCATTACTGTTAATAATTCATCCAAACAATTGGTTTCTTCCATATTTAATATTTAAAGAAGTTGAGTTGTGTTGATCTTCATCGTCTGTCTTATTTAATTCTGTGGTAATACAAGCTTTTCTTCTCATTTTTAGGTTCTCGATAGCACTGCTAAAATAGCATAAACTTGCATATTAAGATATGCAAGCAGTCTTCTAAAACCAGCATTAGAAATCAAATGGTGGTTTTTTTTTGAGAATTTGAAGAAGGCGAGAACTATCTTTTTGATCCCATTTCCCTCCAATTGATGCATGCTTTCCCTTTTGCCAAATCTCTCACACTCTGCAGTCTAACTCTTTACTTTACTTGGAATAATCTATAAACCCTTTACTTGGACTAATCTATAAACCACATACTCATTGCCTGTTGATTTTTACTTCTTATTTTCCTATAACATTGTGTCAATGGTTAATGATAAAACAACACTGTATGTTTGCTCATCTAAGCAAACTATGGTAAAAAGTTACATATGCAGTTAAATTGTATCAATTTTGACATTGTTCCTTATTGTCTATGATAAATGGGTGATAAAAATAAAAGACCCTACTTAACCAGACAGTCAGATTAAAAACATGACCATGTGGCACAGGAAATATGCCTGTGATCATGTGTAGGACTGGTATGCCAAATACATGGGTGTATACTTTGAAGCTAGGAAATGAAAATAGCATGTATTAAAGTTACAGCAGATCTACAGTAGCAGCTGTTGTTTGTTTTGTGAAAATATGAAATGTTATTTGTAGGTCTTATGAAAATGCAGGCTAAGCATGGCATCTGGAATTACTGGTCTCACATTCAGTGCACCTTAGAGAATATAGCCTGATCTCCCGTTTATTTGTGCCTGACATTATGATTAATTTTGGCAACAGGTTTCATGACTTGATCTTCTTCTGTAGTGACATATCTAACCTGAATGCTCTCAGCTGCATTTTACTTGCTTTATTTCTCTTTCAGTGACTAAAAAGACCAATTGACATTTGTCCTCTGCTGGCTTCTGGATTTGGCTGTGAAAAATCTTATCTCTCCAACTTTGCTTTCCCTTAAACATCCAATTTTTGCTCTGTTTCCTCCCCCCCCCCCCCCCCCGGGGCCACAAACTGGCATCATGAATAGCACTGGTGCTTTATAGAGGATCATAATGTGTGTATCCTGAATGACACGGGCTTCACATATTCCATGGGTCTGGGGACACTCAAAGGTCTATAGCCGTACAAATAAATATATTTGCAAAATGTGTTAGAGGGATTACCTCCCTTCCCCTATAACCAGTGAAAACTGAGTGTGCTAAATGAGCATCGAATATGGGAAAGGGAAGAAGGAACATTAGGTTAAGATAAAATCCTTAACCAGAGCAACCCACATGCAGCATTTTATTACATGTCGCACTTATTTAAGATAAGATGAGTAGATCAGCAAAAAGCCAACTTCACATAAAGATCTAAGTAGGGGAGCATGAGAAGTAATGTAAGAAGTACAGTGAGGAGAATTCATTTGAGAAAGTACTGCATTTTCTTCTTCAAAACCACATACTGGAGATTTGGCAAGGTTTAAGGAGAATATTAACTGCTGAAATTAGACCTCCTCTTCAGTTATTCAGAAGTAAGTTCAACTATAGTCACTGCTACTTATTCACAGGAAGGTGCCAAGGAGTGCAGTGTTGTTGTATTTATTTATGTACTTGGCCTTTAGGCAAAAGCCATCTAATTTACCAACTTGTTTTGTTTTTTGTTTTTTACAATGGAGTTTGTGATCTCGCTGTGAAGAAGAGGTGTGCTGTGTTCAGAGTTTAATCTTCCCAATAACATCAGAAGGAAAACAGTTTTGAGATTTAATCTCTGATGGATAGATCTTCCTAGTCAAGATGTGGCATCTTCGTAATTCAAGATTGAGACAAGGCTAGAAGAATTACTGCTTCTCTTAGCTTTCCACTTTCTTCCTCTGCTTACTTCGGTTGTCTTATGACGGAGCTCCCATGGGGAGTTGGGGAGGGATATCTTTTGCAATCTGTAACAGTTTCTTCTGACGAAACAGAATTTGCCAATTGTACCACACTCCCAAGAACTACTGAAGATATCTGACTCTGGTGGGTGTCATTTTAAGAAGCAAACTTCTGTTATAAGCACAACCTTTTACGTGTTTGTTCTGCACATATCCACACTAAGTATGTAACAACATATGCCTCTCCAGAATAACCACACACGCTTGAATAGTTATAAATTTTGTTGATTGTCTGCAGTGATTTTTTAAAAGCTGATTTGCAAAATCACAAAGTGGTGGAGATTGTGGTGACCCACAAGAATATGATACTTGGAAATCTTTTGCTTTTCAGCAGCATGAGCTTGCTTTATTGCTGTCATAGCCACACACTTACAGGGCCAGAAACGTAGCTAGAATGTGTCCAGATGATTTAGTATCCATATCAGTTACAGAACTCAAATATTCCCTAGCAGCACCATCAGCTGATAACTAATGAGTCTTGATGTTGGATAGCATCCCATTAATCAATCGAGGTGAAAAATGCTTATTTGAAGAAGAAGACTTAGATGCACAAAGGAGTCTCCAGAGGCAAGCACATTCAAAAGGACCAGATGATAAAACAGTATGAGATTATTTTTGGTTTTGGTTTTTCCTCTCACTGTGTAACAGTGCTTCACTAATGGAGTGGGAAAATGCATAATGAGTGTGGATGACTGATACAAAACAGCTTTTCTACTTCTGCTATTTTGAGTTCTGTGAACTGAATTCCATTTTTTTCCTAACAGAGATAGATACAAACTTATATCAAGGTTATTCAGAAATCACAACAAAATCTAATTTTTGTAAACAAACATTTACACACATTGAAAAACCTAGAACAGATTTCTTATAAAATATTACTTTTTCATTTAAGTGTACCTTCACAGAAAACAAATTTGGAGGGTTTTCCCAGCTTGATTAAATTAAAAAGTAGGGATTAGAAAGGCAATGAAACACAGCAATTTGAATTTGCTATCTTGGAAGAATTTCATTGGCAGTGTTGAGTGGAGAGTTGCCATGCAGGGCTGATAGTTTATTCTGGGAATTTGCAAAGGATAAAATATCTGTAAAAGCACTGGAGAAACAAAATCATCCTGTGCTTTGCAGCAAGATCTTAAAGCATCAAGCTGGCTATTTTTAGCACATTTGCTCATTCTTGTGAAAATCTTGTCTCTGGTTTGGTCAGAAGGTTGTGATTATTAAAGTTTGCCTAAGGGAGGATAGTTTTGCAAATTTATTTTACTTGTAAACAGAACAGTACCCATTAGGGAACATCTTGGACAATCTGTAGTATTCTTGCATCTACATTTGTTGAATGTTTTATTATATACATATTTCTTACAACATAAAACTATAATACAGTTATAGTGCACCATCAGTGGCATAAAACGGATATTAATAACCCAAGCAAAATAATTTGCACTGAATTGCTATCAGTAACAGTATCTGCCTCTGTAAGTAACCAGATTGTAGCATGGCACCAAACACCATTGGTCCGAGGTGCCACAGCAAAACTCCCATAACTGCCCAATTTATTCCCAATTTAGGATACAGAAGAGGGACCCCTTGGCAGTTCCTAATATTCAGTAGGTGCAATAATTTACCTTTATTAGGATCTTGTCCTTTGAAGAAAAAAAAAGATTTGGGGTTTAGAATAATTGAACAATGATGTCATAATCTGAAATGTGCCTATGCACCTGTAATTCATTGTGTGTAATCTGATGTGAATACTAGGCATACAGTATCAGAAAGCTTGTACATGCATAGATTGTGTCCATGAAATTTGAAAGTAGGATTCAGTGAGGTTGTTCAGTTGCCATCTGTTGGAACTGTGTGGAGTACCCACTTCCACCTAAAGCCCACTGTCATCCTTAGGGGTTTCGGGATGCCTTGAAGGGCTATAAAGAAGAGGACAGCTGTGTTAGTGGGTTTCCTGGTTCAATATTGGATGTAAACCCACATAATTAGATACCAAACTACTTTACCTGTAGACAGAATTGAATTCGGAGTTCTCAGTATATTGGTGCAGAATGTTTAAGGTATATCGAAATTGCCAAGTTGTAACATCATTTAAACCTGTAGCTCTCTGTCAGCAGTTTTGAAAATGACATCTTTAGTTTCTTCCAGCAGAGGTTGGAAAACTACATTAAGCTTCCATCCCCCCCCCCCCCCCCCCCCCCGGAAGCAGTTTAGAAGAGCAAGAAAGCAGTGCATTTTCTTTTCAGATCTGAAGGAGTACTGCTCCACAGATTCCCTATATATATATGTGAGAAAGGTCAGTCACTTGTCACTGAGTCCATTATAGCTGTTAGACATTGGTTTAGCACAAAAACAGCTTCCTTGGAAGTAGATGGACAGAAGTAATGGAGGTGAGAATCATCAACATATTGTGACACTTGACCCAAAATTCCAGATAGCCTTTCATAGTGGTTTCATGTAGATATGCAATAGCATAGGGGCTAAGACAGCCCTGAGGGATTCCTGAGGCCAGGGACCAAGGAGTTGAACAGGAATCCTTCGGCACCACCCTCTAAGAGCACCCATCCAGAAAAAAGCGAACCATCCTAGTGGGGTGGCCCAGAAGAGTATGGTATCAAATGCCAGCAGGAGTTCCAAAAAACCCCAACAGGGATGTACTAGTTACTAGCATAGGTCATCTACCAAGGTGACCAAAGCAATCTATTCCATTGTAAGGCCAGAAATCAGACTGAAATGGATCCAGACAGTTCATCTCATTCCGGAACCCCTGAAGTTAAGAATCCTTCAAGGCTTACCTGACCTGGTTGTTTCATTTCACATGTTTATCTTGTTAGTTTTGGGTAAAAGGTTTGCTGTAAGCATACTGAAACCGTGTTTTTTCATGGTTTAGACTGATTCATTTTAGTTCTACAGAAGTAATGTCCAGAAATATATCTACTTGGTTAACTGAGGCATACTTATAGTCACTTAAAAGAAGAGGACTCTTGAGTTGGGGACTGAAGTTGGGAATTCCTATAGCTAGATGCAAATATCTCCGTTGCTCTAAAAGAACCCTTTTCGTGAATTGTAAAAGCATTTTATTTATTCACTAATTCATTTAAATGCAAAACAAGTTTCTGTATACATAATGAACATTACTATGGAAATAATTCACTGTCCTTTCCTGGTTGTAGGTGAGCAGAGAAACATAACCGGAAACTTGTCTTCCCCATCTTCCTGTGACTGCTAATTGGTCACTCTTTTCTACCAGCCTATAAACAGAAGTTTAGGTCAGTATACATATTGCAACAGCAAACAGTGTCTTCCTTCTATATCCTTTGCATGTAAAAAGTGCTATGACTGGAACAAAGACATCCATTTATTAAAACAGTGTAGAGGAGCAGAGATACATGCAAGTTCTGTGGAAAACATCCTTAAAAGGCCTTATCTTCTGCAGACTAATAGCCAGCATTAGATTAAGCCCGACTTAATATATCAGGATTTGTGCTCTTTATTGCTTAGGTTCTGTCTGTTACACTGGTATCTTAGAAGAATCTCAAAGATTGTCTATTCTAACCTACTATTTGCTGATAAAGAAAATATATTACTGTGGCATCTCTGATATCTCTGAAAAAATTGTTCCATCTCATGAAAAAGTCAATCACTTTCCAAGGAAGTTACGTTCCACTATAGAAGAGTTTTTATCATGAGAAAGTTCTTCCTAATTTTTTGTCAGAAACCAGGGCAACCCCTATGGTATGCTACTAGTTTGGTGTGAAAAGATAACAATGAACCTAGGAACGGTTTTCTAGGGTACATGCCATGCTGCATCACCAATCTTGTATCTCCCCAATAAGGCTGAAATTGCTTATATGAAAAGTGAAGAGGCAATAGGTTTTGTCACATTCATTTTACTCAGGAAAGCAAGAGTTTGCAATTTTTTTACATGGAATTGGATTTTCAGAGTACCAGAATCAAATAAGGACTTGGACTTTGTGTCCTAACTTTGTTCTTCAGAGTTCAAATGTCTATAAGCCACTTCGTTGAGCCATTTCTGCCAGACAAAGCATGGTAAACAGATAGGTTATCCTGTCTTTGTTGCAAAGCCAAAAGGAAGTATTCCTGCAACAAACCAAGCAGAAATATATGTTACAGTTAGCAGTTGACCATTATTTCTTCTTTGATTTGTGATGGGCATTTGGCTAGTCAACCTGTATTTCCAGGTTGTTCTATGAATCACAATGCTTCCTGTTCGTAGTTTACCAAGTATAAACAAACAAGTACTGCATTTAGTTGACATTTGTTGCATTTTTTTAAAAAAAAAACCCATCATCTCACATTGATGCTCTCTGCGCTCTCCACTCTTTGCAGGCAAGTTCCTTTGCGAGCACCATTCAGATTCATTCTCAGATTAAACCCAACCCCAAATAGGTCTTATCCATACTGGAAATAGCTGTGTTTATCCTGTTTGAGTGGTATGTGGTTTTTTCCTGAGATACTAAAAACAAATCTCATAATTCAGGTGTGCAATATAAGTATATTTTGTAATTTCAATAAGCCAAGTCTGCCTCAGCATTAAAAGGTACAAAAGGGCCAATTTCTGATGTTAGAGATGCATCTCGGGGATATTTTATAACGGCTGCTATTGGCATATGCTGGTGCAATCCCTGTAGGTCATGCCACTGGAGTTAGAAAGGGAGCAATCACACTGGTTTATAAGAACTATGGGGTGCTGCTGTCAACACCTCTGATACAGCGGTTGCTGCTGCTGCCAGAAATAACCTCACACAGCTATTCTTCCTGATCTATTATGGCCACAACATCAAGCAGCTAAAGGTCCCATTGGCCAAGGGGCATGCAGGCAGCAGAGCCATGGATGGACATTTGTGACCATCACACAGAATGAAGCAATGGTGGAGATAATATCCAACTCTGACAAACCATTTCAGTGAGCACTGAGAACCGTTTTTACTTTTCAGTATGTCAATATGATCTAGCTCTGTTTGTCTGTCTCTATATGTACAAACAGTATATCACAATGTTGCCTTTTTGTTGGAATTATCAAAGTAAAAAGATTGTAAACCAAATTGATGTAATAAAAATTCAAGATGATTCACAGTGTCTGATTAGTGTGTTCCTGACTTGCAATGTAGGGCTTGCTCTAGAAGTATATCATCACAATGTTGTCACACACATATAATCTTCCACAAGATTATTATTGGGGAAACTAGTTACGTTGGTGTATGATAGAACTATACACAGCACATAATAGCTAATGTTGGTGTTGGTAGCCCATGATCTAAGCAGAAGTGTGTTGCATTTCAGCCCCACATTTTGGGTTGAACCCTCTCATCATTTGGACTATCTCTTGACTTGATTTCCTATTTCATTAGAAACATTAGAGAAATGTATTCCATCATTTGAATAAGGTAAGATATAACTTTTGTTTTTTACAAATCTTTGAAGAATCAAAAAGAAGCCAGCCTACCCGATATTTAAGAGCTGAATCTGCGGTAGACTTGCTGAGAAATACCTCTACTCAATATGTTGTGTAGGCTGCAGGAATATGTGAAAGGGAATTAAATATAGTACGTTCTGTTTGGTGGAGGCCCATGGTTAGATTTGCATTAAGAAAGTAAAATGGAGTGTTAAATTACTTAGCCATCCTAATGTCAACTCACAATAGGTTATATTGTCCCTAAGAGTAGTCATTCAATAAAAATGAATGATTATCAAGAAGTATTACTGAAGGCTGCTTCTTCAGTTTGCACCTCTTTAATCAGATGTGCACCAGAGTGAATTTGAGTATTTTTCCTGAAGTAATACAAGATAGTTCAATATTGGTAGATATTTTTAGGTGATGATAAGATGGTTAGTCTATCAAAACTTTTTTAGTTTATCCTTCAAATGTATATCTTTTAACTAACATAAACCACATAGAACCTACAAAGTGCATCAAGATAAATGTTTAAATGTATTATTATTTTTCTGGACAGCCAACCTTGGGCTAGAAAGAGGTTTCCAAACTACCAACGGTAATGCTTAACATAGTTTATCTGGGACGGTCCTGAAAAAAATACCATGTAATGGACCCAAGAATCAAAAGGGAATAATGAAGATCAGTAATGAATGGTCGACATTGTTCCATATGCAAACAGTAGATTCATTAAATAATGTGGCAACAAAAAAACCTAAACATTATAATGATTAAAGGATGTTTTCTAAGGTAAGTGGTGTAAAGCCAGTGCTTTAGAACTAAGCATGCTTACTAAGGAGTAAAGTCAATGGAATTTGGCTTTTTCAGACAAATATGCACAGGATTATATGGAAAATATACTGAATATTATTGACATAAATTATTTATTTATTTCATTTACTTATACCCCGCCCTTCTCACCCCGGGGGGGACTCAGGGCGGCTTACAGTGGGGGCACAATTTGATAAATACTTTTGAGTTTATAAACTGCAACTATGTAAATAACTATGCAGAGTTCTTTGTGTGTAACAGGTATGTAACTGAGGAAAGTCACTACAAAAAAATACAGGTTTTCAGTATGGCTTAGCACCTGTGCTGAAAACTTCACATTATGTAAGCAATAAAATATTTTCTGGAATTTTAAGTGTGTGCTAACCTGCAGCCACAACAATAAAAAAGGTTTCTTGTTCCATGCCTCAGTTTTCTATGTAACAGCCACCCTTTTCAGCACTACAGAGAGAAGCTTGAAAAAACAAGATTTTGGAGGTCAAACAGGATGCCTTGTTTGATGCTGAAAGAGAAAAACTTTGCATAGCACAAGAGGATTGTCACTTTCAAGGGTGTTGTCTGCTATCCTAACCATCAGCACTTGACCATATTACCAAGATTCTTCTGTGGCAGAAAAAGATAACACTGCAAGAGACATAACTAGGCCTTATAGTGTTTGGATCATTATATTCAAAAGCAGATTGCATCCAAGAAGCCATTTAAGTCACAGCATATTCAATCAATGGCCTCAAAATAACCCACTTTTTGAAAACGGTATAAGCCAGCAGAATTGTAGACACATTTTCTCGGTCCCAAGGTTTAGATGTGTTGTTCATTTGCTTTGATTGACATGTTAGCTTGTCAAAACTTCATATTCCTACAGAACTGAACAGATGGGAAAATAGTGCTTTTCCTACACTCCTTTCTAGAACAACCCCCCAAGTGAACTTGAGCGTGACTGCTGTGTGATCCATCTGCAACAAATCTCTTTTTTCCCATAACTTTAGAAATTACAACATATCAATAACTATTGTGCACATAATTTTCCTGCCCAAATGTTATGAGGTAAAAATAGATTTTATTGGCTGATGTAGCTAGCCTGGCTGTGTAATTGATTCCCACAATATAAAGGCCTGTTATAATGTTTGCATTATCCATTACAGATGCAAATGGATAGCTCCTTGCTCTCGTTTCATTCTTGGTCTTGATGTTCCTTAGTATAACAGCAGAAGTTATACTAAGGAAGGTGGAGGCAAATTAAGAAGAGGGATATAGTTCAGAAAGGTAGCATATATCAAACTCACTCATTTTTTTTTTATTGTCCAGTGTATTTAACAACTGAATCATACTTCCTATGGTAAAATGGCATGCTAAGCTATCTAAAATGAAAATTTTAATTTATTATTTAAATATTTATTGTCACTCATGTGAGCCTTACATAGTATAAAGGAGCATGTAATCTGGCACAGCAGTGGAAACAAAAAAGAAAGGAAAGTTTTAAGCCATGATATGATTATTCCAGTTGTTCTAATTTGCCACAAATTACCCCCTAGGAGGTCTTCTGAGAATGAGATCCTCCATTTTAGTTCAGAGTCAGACAGTCAGAAATAGGGTGCAATCTCCCCTATTTCCAGTCAAGGACAGGAATCAATCCTGGATGTTCAGAAACTTCCCATTCTTGACCTCGATGCTTGATCACAGTAATGCATGAGAAACAGGACAGCTTTCCAAATGCACGCAAAAGGTAGGGGTAAAAAAGGAGACTGAAGCCTATTTGATGAGAAGTAAGACTTTTCAACTTGAGTACTTAAGAGTAAAAATAGATATTTAATCAAGCGCAGCTAGAGAGGAAGAGAAAAGGTATAAACATTAAACAGGTTCAGGATGTTTTTCCTCATGAGCAGAGGGGCCATAGGTGGAGGTTGAATGAAGAGCCTTGAGGCGGGCTTGTTCCCGGTTAGTCTTTATGGTTTGGTTTATGAGGTATTCACTCTCTTGTCCCACCTCTGCCAGCCTCAGATCAAATTCAACCACGGTCGTGTTATCAGACATGCCTTCCAGCAGCTGCTTTCCTCCATCCTAGAATCAGGAAAAAACTAGGCTGAAGGGCAAGCACAAATACACATGTATAAGACTACACACCCACACAAAACCCTTCAGGTTTGCATCAAAACACTTCCCACACTTGGTTGAGCAGCTTATAACTAATTCCGAAGGATGGCTGGTGAAAGCAGTAAGAAAGCTTACTTCTCTCATGAGTGACTAAAAATAAAAATATGTATATTATTCCTTCTGCAAAAACACCACTAACTAGAACACAAAGGATCATGTCACCTCTAACATGCAAATATCCCAAAGTGACCTTTTTACTTAAAAGCTACTACATTAGAGTTAGTGGAAGGGGCACGTAATCTTTTTCTCAACCCACTGCTTCAAATGCTCTCTAAGCATAGTATAAAACCCACAAGAACTGAGAGAACTAGCATAACATCTGTCATGGATATTTTGTGCTTTTCCTGCATGGCAGGAGTTTGGACTAGATGCCCCATGTGGTCTCTTCCAACTCTATTCTATTCCAACTCTCTAGATATCTGACTATTTTGGAGGCACTCAGACTTTTCCAATCAGAGCATGGGTGAAGCTCTGATCTGTTAGAGAGCTTTCAGTTAATTTCAGCTGAAATTAAGAAGTGTTTGAAATTCCTAGAAGCCACACTGTGACATGCCTCCAAAAACAGGGATAAAAGCAAGGCAAGCAAATTTGTATACAGGCAGTTCCCAAGTTACAAACAAGATAGGTTCTCTCAGTTCTTGTGGGTTTTTTCGGGCTATATGGCCATGTTCTAGAGGCATTTCTCCTGACGTTTCGCCTGCAGAGATAGGTTCTGTAGGTTTGTTCATAAGTTGAATTTATTTGCAAGCTGGAACAGGTTCATTTTTAAAGAGTAACTCCAGCCAAAAATATATCTTTTTAGCTTTAGATAGTATAGGGAAGAGTTAATACCCTTGTGTTTGTTTTGCTATCTTTGCCCCTGTTCAGAAGATTTCAATTCACTTTCTGTCCCTGTGATAATTGGATTTTGAAAAAGGTGGCTTGTTGTGGAAACAAGGATTGGTGATAAAGCTTCAGTGGAGACACCGTTTCCCCATGACAACTCTTTCATGAGCAAATCTCCCTTCCTAGGGGTAGATTTATTTCACTTTCTATTGTGTCACCCCCATTCTTAACAGTGAGTCGTTGTATGTAACTCAGGGACTGCCTATGTTACTCTCCATCCATCTGCTACTGCTTAAAAAGTGCTTGCACAATGAAGGATGTGTCATGCTCTTGACTTTGAAGATGTCACTATTATGGGGACATCTTCCAGCCCTCTCATTACAATGTCAAGAGATGATAAAAGTGTGTGTTCAAGGAATAGTAGATAGATATGGCAGGCAGTTCTAAAGAATTTTGATATGCAAATTTAGACACACAAGAAATGATTAGTTATTTCAACTGTTGATGCAGTAGGAACAGAATTAGTGTGGCAAGAATTGAACCTTAAAGAACCTATCCAAGTCATTGAACCCATTTTAGGTGATGCACTTGTTATCAGACAGTTTTCAAACATGTGTCAAATGTTGCAAGAGCCTTTGAGCTGACATATTTCTGTGCTCTGTTATGAGCCTTCTTGCTGCACTCATACAGTCTGATGACTTTAAATAAAGTAAATTAATCACTCAGATAACCTACACTGTAGTAAATCTAGAGATTTAGAATATCTCTCTTAAAGTAAATTTATGTTGCCTCTAAAGGGCATAAATCTAAGGCACATCTTTGTTTACTTTAAAACCCACTTTAATTCACTTTCACAGAACTCACAATCAATGTAACTCTGATACAACACATGTATGCCCTGTTTTCTTATTAATACATTTTGAAGTGGCAGGTGAAGCTATATATTCAACTGATCCCTTATGATAACACTTCACCCGCAAAGTCACTGTAGATTTTTAAATTATTATTATTATTATTATTATTATTATTATTTATACCCTGCTTTTTCTCTCTACAGAAGAGACTCAAAGTGGCTTACAGAAAAACCAGTGCAATGCAATTTAAAAGCTAAAAATATACAAACATTAAAATAGAATAAAATATTAACAGTAATAAACAGTTAAAACCTTTAAAATAGATTAAAAACCTATTAATAGCTAAAACCACAGTACTCCCCAAATGAATTTATCTTATGTACTAGCCTTTTAAAGAGCCTTTTGCTAGCTTTCCTACAGGCATCTGTAGAAAGCATGCCACTCCTTGCATAAAGTATGCTTCTTAGGAAAAGAGCATTCATTAATGAAAGCCAAAGATGGTATTATCTACTCTCCTATTTCTTAATTTTATTGCATGTGCAAACTAGACTGTGTAGGCAACAATACATGACAGATGATAAGCTACTCTCTCAGCTTTAGCCCAAAATAGTTGGACCTACTTTGCAAAGTGTATTTTTAAAGCTAATATATATAAAAGACTTTGTTCTTTGCATGCTGTAAATATTACTTTTAAGTGCGGATTGAGCCCACATTTTAAAGAAGAGATTGCATACTAGCCCAATGTGGTTGCAGGAAAGGTTGATGTGCGTCAGTGTTAGGTTCTGAGCCAGGACTTGAGAGAAAAGTGTGGCTGTTGGCTCTGACAACTCATTGCTACCCAAGTGAAGAGTTGTTAGTGTGCTATTAACCAGGAGGGCATTGCAGATTGCTTGTCCGCCTTCATCCTCGATGCTGTTGAGGCGCATATTTAAGCATGTCAGGGTGGAGTTCTTGGACAGGGCATGAGCAATAGCCTGGGCTCCTTGGGCCCTGATCCTGTTGTCACAAAGGTTCAGGGTTATCAGATTGCTGCAGTTGATTAGCTTGCCGACGGCTCGTGCTCCACGGTCTGCAATCAGGTTGTGGGACAAATCTAGTTCTATTAACGTGGGATGATCTAATAGATGTTTGATCAGTAGCCGGGCTTTCTCATCATCCACTTTACTACGGGTCAGTTTGAACACCTGCAATAGAAAAAATTAAATTACATACTTCAATAAGTTTTTTTAAAGAATCTGTGCTTTTTCAGCTCACATTCCTAGGGAATCCCTTATTTTTTTCACTGAAGCCAGAAGATTTGGGCATTATTTTTTTGGGGGGGGGAGGGGAGATTATGAAAGTTTTGAAAAATTTCATGTAAGAATTAAAAGTTCTTCTTAAAAGTTTTCAAACTCCTCAAACTGCTTCTATAAGAAGTGATTTGAAAGCTTTTGATATTTAGGCATTTGTTCTGCTGTTAGCTGCCTAAGTTTCTCAGAAATAAGACAGATTTCCAAGAAAAGAGTTCCACATTGCCTCTAAGCAAGCTCAAGGCTTTTTCTGGTACCAACTGGCAGCTGAAGGGATGATGATCTATCAGAGCAGATCTTCCATATAATAGTTCCATCATTGAACTAGCTTAGGGCTTTTGTGCTACTCAACCTCATTTGTCACTGCAGAATCACAAGGTCAAGTTGTCAGTTCAGTACTACTTTTTTGCCATAGAAAGAAGCCTTTGCTGTTTGTAGAACTCTTATCTACAGACTTATTGAAAATACATATTTGAAATTGATATTCAGGGAGAAACAGAGTGAAAACAGCCTCAAAGGTGTAGTACTGTCTTAAATATAGAGATAAAGTAGAGATTTCATGGGGCATCCATAACTGGAGCACATTTCATTTATTTTTCCTTTCATAGGGTGCTAGGTGGACTCTTAATAGAAGAGGCGGGAATGCTGAACGCTTGCTTGTGCTATATTTCTTAACTTGGGTTGCAGTTAGAGCAATCGTAAACATTTGTTTATTTCTTTATAAGATGTACAGAAATAAGACTAAGGCAAAGGGTTAAATCAGGGCTTTTCACCTAAACCTTTTAGAGTTAAATGATCAAAATTTGGTTCTGGCTTGTGAACTAAATGGCTTTATAATTTTGTTTAATGTCAGATCTCTTTATTGTGAGATCTCTAGATTTTACAGTTATAAACAACATTAAACTCTCAAGAGTGCTTAAGACTGCCAAATAAATATGCTTTAAAAGTGGTTCTCTGGGAGTAAAGTACTAATTCTAAGTGATGCGTCTCTTGGGCAGAGCTTTGCCTTTAATGCAAGACTTGTTAATATGGCCATTAGTAATTGTTAGTTCATGCTTAGGATTATAAAATATTATAAGATTGTTTGGAAATGTTACTTTCAGAGCTTGACACTTCTTCAGAGCATTTGCCAGTGAGCTGCAGTCCCGATAAGTGAACTCAAATAGATTCCATTCAAAATTCATGCCACAATCTTTAACACCATATGACAGGTGGAGTTCCTCTAAGTGAGGGAGAGCTGGAATGAGCATGCTCATATCAAAATGGTCCATTGAAGGTTCATCTATTTCAGCATCACTTTCAGTATCAGAAGCTTCTTCGTCTTCCTTCTTCTGGTCCAATTTCACTGGCGGAAGAAACTGGTCAATCTCTAGTCTCCTCACATATTCTTTGCAAAGTGGGATGATATCCAGGACTTGGTTAGGGCTTGTGGTATCTGGAATATAGAACTTCAGAATGTTCTCTAGGTGACGTTCAAAAAACATCTGTTTCCAGCTGTTTCCATAGTGGGACACATCACAAACTGTCCATCGCTGTGTGCAGCACCGTTTCCAATAGCCTTCATCACTAATCAGGTTGGCAGTCACAGTAAGGGGAAGACTGGTAGAGACTTTCTCCAGTACCTTCTTTTGGTGTTCAGGAAGGAGACGATCCAAAATAGGATTCTCTAATTGAAAAGAAGATAATGAGAAAACAGGGAGCTTGGTAAAATTTGGTACTCATTTGCTGTCATATATTCCAAGAACAATTCATTCAGAATGTTACACAACATACTTATATTTTGTTTTACACTAATTTAATGTAGCTTCTGCCAAAGAATCCTGACAATATTAGCTTGGTTCGAATGATAGGAATTCTCTAGCCATCACTCTTTCTGCCCCAGGATTCCTTGAGAAGAGTGAATGACAGTTCACTCTACAGTGTCAAATTAGAAAGAATTGAAAACATTGAATGAACTGGTTTGCTAACAATAGCAGGAATGATTTGACTTGTGGGTAAAACTGCCAAATATTTTGAAGTTTGAAAATCAGTTCATAAAAACAGAATTCCAATTTCTGCTTGAGTGGTTAGGAAACTTTGATTTTCTGTAAGGAGTCCCCACTTACTTTCAAAGTTGTTGATTATGTGCTGGATACAGAGTTCTGTAAGAAGTGGTACTATGGCTAGATTCCACTCAGGATCCTCTGCAATAAGCCGCCGCATTCGCCGGGGGTTCGCTGCAGGGTTCATTATAGTCATACGACTTGGAGGGGAAATCCCTTTGGGGTCTCCAGCAACTGGTTCCTGCATCTTGGAATATGATGGTGTTGACTTTCTTTTTCTTAATTAGAATTAGAATGGATGTTTTACCCAAGTTGGATAATTACTACAATTAAGCTGCCACTCCTATTAGAAGAAACATTTACAGAATAATCAGAAGTTAGTGTCTGTTTCTGATACTAATAAAATGTATTAACACATTCAAAGCATTACACTACTGTGGAGTTAGGGAAGATGATCTGACAACTGCATTTCCTTAAACTGTTGATATGGCCCTGTCAATAGGTAGCTCCACGAGCTTTACATAACATTATATAAAGCCATTATATATTACTGGAGCGATTTCTGTACGTATAACAATGCTTCTTATTGTGTGCCTTCAGTTGTTTCCAACTTACAATGATCATCCTAAGCAAACCTATCACAGGATTTTCTAGGCATGATTTATTCAGAGTGGATTCACCATTTATCTGAGGCACAAAATGTGATTCATGTTTCACTTGTGTCAAGATGTATTACTTCTGCAGTGTAGAGGCACTTGTGGTCTCATTCCATTCTGCTTTGATCAGACTTTGCCTGGAATATTGTGCCCCATTGTGGGCACCATAGTTCAGGAAGGATATTGACAATCTGGGATGTTTCCAGAGAAGAATGAGCAAGAACATCAAAGGTCTGGAAGCCAAGCATGAAAAGGAACAACTGAGGGATGTGGGTATGTTTAGTTTGGTGAAAAGAAGAGTAAGAGGTGACATGATAGCTATAGTTAAATAGAGTAAAATATGTCATGTTGTAGATGGAGCAAATTTGTTTTCTGCTGCTCCACAGACTAGAATCTGAACCAATGGATTCAAATTACAGGAAAATATATTCTACCTAAACATTAGGAACAGCTGTTTGACAATGAAATACACTGCTTTGTAGGGCAAAAGATTCTTCTTAATTATAGGTTTTTACACGACACAACTGCAACGTGTGCTTGGAACTGCACATATTTGATATTGTTTTAGTCTGGTAAACAGAATGGTAAGTCGTGTCATTCGTCTTATTGCATAGCCCAGGTTGATACAGTATGTCAACTGAGATTGAATTACCTTCTAGTCTCTGACAAAATGTTCATCATTACAAGAGCTACAAAAAAAAAAACTTTCAACAAAAAAGCCTATAATGTGAGAACCACTGCCATAATTTTGCACACTTCCATAAAATAGCACTTTGATCCCACACAGTATTTTTGTCAGTAGCAGGTGCTGATATTTGAGATCAAGCTAATTATTTCCTTCCTCTTCATGAGGCTGCTCAGTTTTGCTTTTCTAGCACATATAAGCAGCAGCAGCCCTTGGTGTGATAAAGGCCTGAAGTCTTTCAAATCTTCGTAACAGGCTGCAAGCTTTGGTAATCCCTCTAGTCCTCAAACTGTCTGGAATAGCACTGATAAAATGGTCTGCTAAATTGCAAGAGCTGAAATCTACAAAATGCTAAGAAGAATTCTAGAAGCTAAGATAAATGATTCATGTTGCACTGCAGATAACGCGGCTCCAAAGGCTTCCTTGACTATATTCACAGTGAACAGCAGGTGCTAGAGAAAGCAATGAGCCGATACAGCAGCATGGTACTGGAGATGCAGGAAGAGACCAGGAAGAATGGGTAATGTAGTCTTTGCAGAGATTGTGAGACAAAGGATGCCTGAGGGCCAAATGATACAAGATGTTATCTATCATGCTAGCTAATACTTTACCGTCAGTAATTGTACAATAATAAACTGTAAAAATTATTGACCCCCCCCCCCAAAAGCCACATTAAAGAATCCAACAAAACATTACAGGAAAATTTCCCCCCTTCTACAATTCCTGAACCTCCCTCCCACCATCACACTCAGCCACCGTGGTTCTTCAATCAGAAATCCTTGAGGCTTCCACAGATATGGCTGCTGTAACCAGAACAACACTTACTGCTATATTGTCATTCTCATCAATCCCAGAAGATGGATGGCAGGAAAGAGGTAAGTATAAGAAAAAGCACTACCGTAGTTATCAAGAGCCACTAACACTAAAAAGATTTCTACAATTCCCCAACAGTTCAAATGCTGAGTAATACATATAAACCCTATGCAATTGCAGTTTTTGAGAGTCAAGAATGCTGAGTTTATTTTTGAAAAGCAAAATGAAGAATGTAATAGCTTATATGATTAATAATGAGCAGTGTTACTATGGTCATTTTCAGCACAAACCGATTATTTCTTTATAAAATTGATTGAATTATTTTTAAAAACTGTAATGGTGCATTTATTCTGAAATAAATGTTTCATTCTAAAATATTATATAATGAAAGATGAACACATCCTTAAATTACTTCACACTTTATATAAAAAAAGAAGGTTCCCTTCATGATCAACATTGGCCTTCCTTTGTCAATGATCCGGAAACAGAAGCTGGTGCAAAATGCGGCGGCTCGTCTTCTCGCCGGGGTGCCGGCGAGGTGCCGTATCACCCCCATTCTACCACAGCTGCACTGGCTTCCGATTGAGTACCGGATTACTTTCAAGGTGCTGGTACTAACCTTTAAGGCCTTATATGGTCTGGAGCCAGCGTACCTGAGGGCCCGCTTATCCCCCTACCAATCCCAGAGATTACTTCGGTCCGAAGATCAAAATTTGCTTGAAGTCCCCAACATCCAGACTTATCATCTGTCCTCTACTAGGCAGAGAGCCTTCTCGATTGTGGCCCCTTATTTATGGAATGCCTTGCCAGTTGAAACTCGAACCATCCGAGAGCTACTTGCTTTTCGGAAAGCCTGTAAAACCTTTCTTTTCTGACAAGCTTTCGATGGGTGAATAACTCGGGACTATGTCGGTTCTCGTTTTTATTGTATTTTAAAGTTGGTTGTATTGTTTTAATCTACTGCTGTAAACCGCTCCGAGCCAAATTGGGAGTGGCGGTATACAAGCCAAATAAATAAATAAATAAATAAATAAATAAATAAATAAATAAATTTAGACATCTAGGGTGAACCTAGACAGACTGCTAAATGTGTTTTGTTTTTTTTTAACAAAGCATGCATCTTTCACTTTGTCCTGAATGAGCATTCAATGTAACAGAACAAGGTTGCTAAGGTGTGAGAACTATTCCACAATGTGTTCGAATCAAATCCAAGATCAAAACCCTGGGGAGTTATAAGGTGCCACATTTTGCAGTGAGTCATTTATCACATTGAATCCATTCAGAGAACCTCTTGATGTGGTAATCACACATCACCACTGGAACAGCATTTTTCACTTTACTTATTCTGTCAGAACAGTTATGAACTCTTTCTAGTGTGTTGAGTTCACATCTTTTGTGTATCTTTTAGTGAACAGACAACTGCCTGGCAAGTTATAATTTACCAAACCCTGAGTACACAATCAACTACAGCAGTTAAGAATGGAGCTGAGACAGCAAGAAGTGAGAGGAATCTACATCTCAGAAGGGAAATCTGCTCCTGGAAGAGTTATGGGGAAAAGGTGTTTTAACTGAAGCTTTATCACCCGTTCTTGTTTCCATTGTGTTGGGACAGACTCCTAAAGCATTTTTTCAAAATCAAATCATCACAGGGACCAAAAGTGAAGTAAATCTTCACTTTTGGTCCCTGTGATGATTTGATTTTGAAAAATCTTCTGAATAGGGTAAATCTTCTGAATAGGGTAAATCTTCTGAATAGGGGAACAGACAGCAAAACAAACACAGGAGTGTCAATCCTTCCCTGTGCTATCCAAAGCTAGCTAGCTAGCTAGCTCTCTCTCTCTCTGTATGTATACACACGCGCGCGCATATGGCTTGAGTTACATTTAAAAATGTACCTGTTCCGACTTACATACAAATTCAGCTGAAGAACAAACCTACAGAACTTATCTTGTTTGTAACTTGGGGGCTGCTATCAAGGTTTGAGAAGCTCATCACACTCCTATTTTCCTATTTGTTTAGATTCAGGTATGAAAGTGCAATTTTTTTTCATTTGTTCTCATCAGAAAGACAATTTAGGTAACCAAGTAGCTTTCTGCCCACTGCAATGTATTACTATTTGAGAAGGAGTAAGGCACATATAGTTTCCTAACATTATGCATTAATGACCATGCTGAAATGCTGTTAGGAGAGTGAGAAAATAATAATATATTCCACCTATTTCAGGCCCCAGTAATCTACACTACAAAGTGACTGTTAGAAAAAATTCAGTGCCAAAAATATAACTGATTCCCCAATCTAAATTATTCACATATATTTGTGAACGGGCCAGATAATGAATCCTAAAACTAGAAAAGAAAAAAGCGTTGTATTTTTTTCCCATTTGTGTCGGGACAGACTCCTAAAGCATTTAGCTCATTGGTTTCATTTGTTAGTTGCTTTTCAACATTCAGAACTTTAGTTAAATTGTCAAGCTTTCAGAAATCTGCTGATAAGAAATGCACTACAGGTTGGATATCCTTTATCAGAAATGCTTGGGACCACAATTGTTTTGGATTTTGGAATACCTGTATGCAGGGCCGTAGCCAGAAAAAAATTTCGGGAGGGGTTGAAATTTTCAGGGGGGGGGGTTGAAATTTTCCGGGGGGGGTTGAAATTTTCATGGGGAGGGGTGAAATTTTCGTGGGGGGGTTGACATTTTCACCGGGGGGGTTGAAATTTTCACGGGGGGGGTGAAATTTTTGCGAGGGGGGTTTGAAAATTTCCGGGGGGGGGGGGTTGAAACCTGCCTCCTAGCTCACGCTGAAGCAAAGAACACAGCAGGGGGCAGAGCAGCCTTCAATAGCTGCAGCTCCACCCCTGTCAACCACCTCCACCAAGTCTGGCCTCCTTAATGAGAGCATTCAACACACACACACCCAACTTGGTTGCTTCACTACATCGGCTATTGCTGCAAGTAATGACATGTGAATAAATTGATAAATGGTCAAAATTTCAATGAGATAGTGCTTGCAGTTCTGGAGGGACTTGTTTAAATTCTGCTTCTCATAGACTTAGCATGGGGATTTTGTTAACCAGTTAAAATCATGAGCAAATCCAGGTTTTTTAAAAAATCTGAAACATTTGGGGGGGGGGATTGAACCCCTAAACCACCCCCCTCGCTACAGGCCTGCCTGTATGTACATAATGAGTTATCTTGGAGATGAGTCCCAAGTCTTATCAGAAAATTCATCTATGTTTCATGCACACCATATACACATAGCCTGAAGGCAATTTTATGCAATATAAAAAACAATGCCCATGAAACAAAGTTTGGACAGTAAACCATTAGAAAGCAAAAAAAAAAAAAAGTGTCACTACCTTAGCCACCCATGAGGACAATTTTGGAGTTTTGCAGATTATGTGTGCTCAAATTATATTGCTTTCACATGCTTTAGGCCCCATCTACAATGCCTTATAATGCAGTTTGAAACTGCATTATAGAATTTGTATAGACCCATATAATGCATTTAAACGGTATTATATAAGTCTTCTCTACATTCCTCTACAATATGCTATAGTTTCAAAGTGTAGATAGGGCCTAGGAATGAATATAACCATATTTTCTAATGGGAGCAAGATAGTTTAGGGAGAATAGTTATTTCACATCAGTTTTCAAGTGTGTTGTAATATACAGAAACAAACACAATCTCAGTAGCATACTCACATAGATTTCCATTAAAAGAGAGTGTACTAATATACAATCAAGAAGCTGCAACAACATATATAAATCATAACTGAAATAGAGATGAATATCATGTTTCTTAACAGCAACTTTTACTGATTTTTAAAAAAGAAAACTGAAAATGAAAAGTTGGCCTAAACTGAAGTGTTTAAGGATAAATAGGCTCCTCAAAAAGAAAAGGTTCAAGACTATACAAAATATAGCTCAGAAAAAAACCACAGTATGTGGAAGCATTACCTAATTTATTGCTGCCTACAGAGACAAAGGGCCCCCTGGTGATGCAGTGGATTAAACTATTGAGCTGTGGAACTTACTGACTGAAAGGTTGGCGGTTTGAATCCGGGGAGCAGGGTGAGCTCCCTGCCTCTGTCAACCTAACAGTCTGAAAACATATAAATATGAGTAGCTCAATAGGTACTGGAAGAGTCTACGAACAACGCTGGCGCTTAGGCTTAGAAATAGAGATGAGCACCACCCTCTGGAGTCTGACATGACTAGACTTAATGTCAAGGGAATGAGCACCAACCCCCAGAGTCGGATACCTTTACTTTACCAGACAAATAGATAATCTAATAGTCTGCGGACTCAATGTGAGAAAACTTGCTGCTAGTTTACCTGGCTGATCATGAAAACCTAATTGCATTCTGCAGTTATTGCAGGCACACTTCAGTTAGCAAAGTAGATGTGATCCATAGACATTACTTCTTTAGCAGAAAATTTAGTTCCGGGGGCAGAAATAAAAGGAAAAAAAATGAATTTCTGTTTCACAAAAAAACCCAAAAAATAAAAAAAAACAAAACCAAAAAAAAAACCCACTCTCTTCGTTTTGGGGCTTGTAGATTAGTGGGGCTCAGGACCTCTCTGGCCGGGCATTTTAAAGGCCCCTCTCTAAACTACAAGCTTCTGCAGGAGACAGCCACAGGATTTACATTAATGCAATTTGACTCCACTATGGCTCAATGCTATGGGATCATGAGAGTTTTAGTTTGGTCAAGCATCAGTACTCTAGTAAAGGTTAAAGACCTTGCTAAACTACAGCTCCTGTAATTCTATAGCAATGTGTCATGGCTGTTAAGACGGCCCAAACTCCATCCATTATAGTATAGATCAGGCATGGGCAAACTTGGGCCCTCCATGTGTTTTGGACTTCAACTCCCACCATTCCTAACAGCTTAAGCTGAGGGGGGAAAAGGAAACGGCCTGGGACTGTTAGGAATGGTGGGAGTTGAAGTCCAAAACACATGGAGGGCCCAAGTTTGCCCATGCCTGGTAGAGATGCACCCTCACTCTCTAAGGTGCTGCCTTTGGATACTGATATCCTAGTCTAATTGAGGTCCTTCTCTGAATTCTATTGTATCCTCCACTCTTTCCCTATAGGGACCCAAGACTCGACATTTCACTGGCCTGAACGTCCCGGCCCCCCTTTCCCCCCCCCCCCCCCGGAACCAGGTGTCCCCTCAGGTTTCATTCGCCCACCTGGCAGTCTAGGCCGCAGAGCAGTCCGTTGCTAAGGAAACGAGAAGCGTTGCCAAGGGCGGGGCTTCACAGCGTAGACCGCACCCCTTAGAGGCACGAGCCGAGTGTGATGTCCAATCAGCAGACGGGAGCCGCCCATTGCCTTTTTTTCAGAAACGGGCGGGAGGAACCGCCTGGGGGCGGAACTTACGGCAAGGTGTGTGTGATAGCTTGGAAGCAGGAATTTCTGGAGGAGATGAAACCAAGCCCCGCCCCTTTCCCTTGAGAGCGCCTCCTGATTGGCTATTCTGTTGGCACCCTGAGTGTTTTTTTTTTTCCTAAGAAGGAGGCATGATCTTCTTGATGTGGATGTTGAATTCAGGTTGAGGATGCATCTACACTGTAGGATAAACGCAGTTCAACAGCACTTTAACTGGCAGGGCTCAAATGCAATGAAATAATGGGGGTTGTAGATCTACAAGGTCTTGAGCCATGGTAGTCAAAGGGGTGTCAAACTGCATTAATTCTACAGTGTAGATGCACCCAGAGTCTCCTTTATCCCAAATGCTTGGGTTCCACAATGCGAGAGTGATCAACAGTCTAACAAGCAATGAGTAATTAATGTGCTGGGTGACTTGTCTTTGCCTCCTCCTCAACTTTCCATTTGGAAGGACATTCTGTGTCGATTAAATATAAACACTGAGAATGTGATGCCTTGATTGACTGCCAATGAGCTTTATGACCTGAGTGGAACCCATCTGCTTGGTTGTTTGCACTTTTTATTGTTAATGGGTTTATAGGTAGGTAAAGGTTTTCCCCTGACATTAAGTCTAGTCATGTCCGACTCTGGGGGTTGGTGCTCATCCCCATTTCTAACCCAAAAAGCTGGTGTTTTCCATAGACACCTCCAAGGTCATGTGGCTAGTATGACTGCAAGGAGTGCCATTACCTTCCCGCCTGAGCGGTACCTATTGATTTACTTATATTTGCATGTTTTCGAACTCCTAGGTTGGCAGAAGCTGGGGCTGACAGCGGGGGCTCATGCTGCTCCCCGGATTCAAACCTGCAACCTTTCAGTCAACAAGTTCAGCAGTTCAGTGCTTTAACCTATTGTGCCACCAGGTTTATATTCATCTCTCTCTCTCTCTCTCTCTCTCTCTATATATATATATATATACATATATATATATATGCAAATGGGCTATCCCTCCCCAGACTCTTTAATAGAGCATGGCCTGTGATCACGAAAGTAATACAGTTATATAATCATAATAATGTATATCATATCCTAACTGTGAGAGCCGTTCAGCTGTGGAACTCTCTGCCCTGGAGTGTGGTGGAGGCTCCTTCTTTGGAAACTTTTAAACAGGCTGGATGGCCATCTATCAAGGGTGATTTGAATGCAAAATTCCTGCTTCTTGGCAGGGGGTTGGACTGGATGGCCCATGAAGTATCTTCCAACTCTATGATTCTATGATTCTATATCTATGCTCATAGTACTTTAATATTAAATGTACTAGCATCTTGTACAAAGTATACTTCATGCTATTCTCTAAACTAAATGATGTCCTTATGTGGGATAAACAACTGATTCTTACAGCAAAATGCACATGTTTGTTAGTCCTTTTTGAAAACCAAAAGTTTATCAATAACAAATCAAAGTTTGTAAGTCTTTTTTGCAAGTCTCTTAACCCAGAACTTCTTAATGTGGGTTAAACAGCTGATTCCTATGGCAGAATGCACAGGTTTGTAAGTCCTTTTTTTAAACCAAAGTTAGTTGACAGCAAATCAAAGTTTGTCAGTCCTTGTTTGGAATCCACAGTTTATAAATCACAACCAGTTTCGACTAAGTGGAGTCTTCCTCAGGTGGTAGTTGATACAAGTGTAGAAATCCACAAATAGTTTTGCTAAGTAGAGAATTCTTCAAGTAGAGTCAATATATGAATGTCAACAAAGATGTGGACCTACAGGGAACACGTATGAGTGGCTAAAAAACATAGTATAGGAAAGCAATTACCAAATGTAGTGAAAGCATACAGAACAGTATCCAAAAATACTCACGTAAGTTCTCCTACAAAGGTGCTCTGCTATTAATTTGATTCTATGGCAAGCCCAGGAGAGGCAGGTAGAAACTCCAGTATATAGAGAAAAACTTAAAGTGTATGAAGAGAAATTAAAGCGGTGTGGTTGCACAGTGGGTTAAACACTGAGCTCCTGAGCGGCGTGAGCTCCTGCTGTTAGCCTCAGCTTCTGCCAACCTAGCAGTTCAAAAACATGCAAATGTGAGTAGATTAATAGGCACTGCTCTGGTGGGAAGGTAATGGCTCTCCATTCAGTCATGCTGGCCACATCACCTTGGAGGTGTCTATGGACAACGCCTGCTCTTCGGCTTAGACATAGAGATGAGCACCAACCCCCAGAGTCAGAAACGCCTGGACTTAATGTTAAGGGAAAACCTTTACTAATGCTTTCCTTACTATAAAAATCAAATACTGAGATAGTAGATAAAAGAAGTAGGAAAATGTTTATTTCCTCAGCTAATCTTAATTTCTACCAGTGATATGAACAGGGTTCAGTAAGATCATTGGGGAAGTAGTGGTAAAAACTGCAATAATTGAGCAACCTCTTGTATAAAATATTGTTATAAAGTTCATTTTTGCAATGAGTGGCTAGATACCTCTAAGTACTCTTTGTTTGTAGGACAATATTTCAAGAGCAATGCAAATGCCATAAGACATTCCCCAGTGAAGCAGAGCAATTGGAAGGTACAGTAGGTCATATGTCTTGCTTAATCTCTTTGACAGGCTCTCCTTTAAGCAAAATAACAACATAAGTAACAGTCAGAAATGCAACTTAGATAAAGAGATAGGATACATTGATGCAGTGTACCATACCTCCATTAAGAAACACCAATTCTCTGAAGCTTTTGTGGAAAGGGAAACAGAAGGCAGGGCAGCAAAGCAGTCATTTTGACACGGGAAATATTGATATGTAGGTCATATCTATACTGACAACTTAGGTCACTTTGGAGTTGGTTTGGCAGAAACTGGTTTCATTGTGCAGGTGATCTATTCGACTTGACAAGAACAGGATTAAGACCAGGAAGGTGATTACATTGACAGATGGAAGGTGGCCTTAAACTGGTTCCACATCCACAGTGCCATGCCCCCAAATATCCTGTGAGATGCCCACTAGAGATCTGGAAGTATACGTGTCCGGGATGGGGTGGGGGTGGGGTGAAGTAATAATTAGTAGTGGAGATAATTAATTACCAGTCCCAAAGGGTCATGTAGTCCCTTGCTGCCCAGCTATGCCCTTGAGGTGTTTTTCGACAGCCACCCTATCCTTCCCAAATGGTAAAATGCACTTCAGTGCAGGCAGGTGTCTACAATGTGCTTTGTATTTTACGGAGCTATTTTGCCATATTATATGTTTGTTTAATATATAATATTTAATGTTAGGAGCTCATTAAAGTGCATTTTGGGGTTTAACTTTCCTGCAACTTTGCTTGGTACTTCATCACACTAGAGAATGAATCCACTTTAAATCTGGTTGCTGCCTCTTGCAGAATTCTGGGGTTTGTAATTTAGGGAGGAGCCTTTTACAGCCTCACTAAACTACAAACCCCAGAATTCTGCAAGAAGCAGAAAGTGGATTAATTCTCTAGTGTGATGAAGTAGAGAATTAAACCCTTTAAGTCATGCTGCGGCATGTTTTGGCTCCATACATTTTGTAGCTGCCAGACTTTGAAGTTGGATTCAAGTTGCTTTAAGTGATTATTGTAGATGTGCCCCATGTCAAACCTAGGGCCCTTCAACACAGCCATATAACCCAGAATATCAAGGCAGAAAATCCAACAATATCTGTTTTGAACTGGCTTATCTGAGTCCACACTGCCATATATTCCTGTTCAAAGCAGATAATGTGGGATTTTATTCAGCTGTGTGGAAGGGGCCAAAGTCTTTCCCGTTTTTCCCTGCTATGACATTGAATAAAGGATATTCCTAGTTGTCTGTGGATATCAAACAGGGAGGAGGGAAGGAAAGCATGTGTTTTGCATGACTGCAAGGATCATGCAGAGGTGCACTTTTTTCAGGTTGAATCGGGTTTTGAGTGTACCTTTTTAACACGTGCCTTTAACCTCTTAATCCAATCCCTCCTGCACTTTGGCTAAATGTTGTTTAGCCACACACACCTACTTTTAATACTGTTACTTCTGGGTTTTACAGCATGTGTAGGAGGACCATCAGAAACAACCTGCAAAAACCAATGGCTTTAGAGATCAATTGTTTATCTCTGTATAATTTTTGCTAAAATTCCATTTCTAAATTAATATTTCTGATGCTATTTGATAGACATGGACATGTGTGTGAACACATTATCTCACTCAAATGCTGTCTGTTTAAACACAAATAAAATTGGGTTGCTGTAGATTGTTCGGGCTATATGGCCATGTTCTAGAAGCATTCTCTCCTGACGTTTCGCCTGCATCTATGGCTGGCATAATCAGAGATTGTGAGGTCTGCTTTAAAGGATGCTTGCCATAGATGCAGGTGAAAGTCAGGAGAGAATACTTCAGGAACATGGCCATATAGCCCGAAAAACCCACAACAACCCAGTGATTCCAGCCATGAAAGCCTTCGACAATACACAAATAATATTAACATAATAAATTGGCAGATCCTTTCATGGCCTACAGCATACCATTAAAAATAGGCTTGTGTGATTTTATTCCTAGTTTTTAGTAGTGTATCATTAGAAAAAGAGAAATAGACTTCAAACGCTGAAAATGCTTCTTAAATGCACACAAAGCTTGGAATCCCCCCCCCCCCCCCCAAAAAAAATGGGTAGAGTCCCATCATTTGATATACTGGAAACTAAACTAGACATAGTTCTGGGAAGCAGACTTCAGGCAGAGATGCTTGTATAATGAGATAATGCAGCAGCATAAATTGTCCTTTCTCTTTGAATTTGCTGCATTGCTATGCAGCTGTTGATCTTTGCTTTTTAAATAGCATGGTCTCTGTGGCTTGTTAAATAACTTCCAGAAGATGATCCTGATGGGAAATGATGCCATCTTGTCTCTGCCTGAAT